CTTTCCCGCAAGTTTCCTAAATTTCGACCCCGGGCCCACGTGCCCGGATTCCGGGATTTTTCGAAGGAAGTTGCTCTCTATCACCTAAGGATCACAAATATACGATTTCTAGTTCATTACATGGCAAATTACATGATTAAATCTTAGTTTTATTAAAACTCTAGGTCTAGCTCTAACCCTTGATTTTTGCTCAATTTTTAGTGTTTAATCTACCTAATACGCATGTATTTAAGATAAGGATGAAGGGAAATTACTTACCTTACCAAGCTATGTGGAAACCCTCTCTTAGAAGCACCCAAATCGCCTAAGTGTAGAGTGAGAAATGATAAAAATGGCTTTGGGTTGGAATTAAATGAACCCCTCTGCCCAGCTGTTTCCGCTTCTGCGGAGTCTGCTTCTGCGGAAATGGGCCGCTTCTGCGATTCAGGCCCAATATGGCTAGACCGCTTCTGCGGTCGAAGTGCCGCCGATGCGGAACCGCTTCTGCGGTTCCAGGACCGCTTCTGCGATTTTTCCCCTGGGCTACCTTGGCCGCTTCTGCGGTGTCCTGACCTGTCACGACCCCAATCCCGGTCATGATGGCGCACAATGCTAGGCAAGCCCGACCATTTGAACACTCTCAACCCAGGTACAAAACACATTACCAAATAATAGAGTTAAATTACCAGTTAAGCATGATTCTAATATGTGATAATAGGTAAATCAGTGCGGAGAAACCATAGCAAATACCAAAAACAACGCCCAAAGGATCTGGTGTCACGAGTCTAGAGCCTCTACATACAACCGAGTAGTAACCTATACATATAAAGGTCTAAAATGCGGAAACAAAGGGGGGTAAGTGGAGGAATCGGGTCCTGCGGACGCCATGCAGCTACCTCGATAACTCCGGTATCAAATCTGAGCAACAGCAAAGCACTCTACGGAGCCTCCTGGATACCTGTATCTTCCCACATGGTGCAGGGAGTAAAGTGAGTACTCTGACTCAGTGAGTAACAGAAATAAATAACGAATGAAGATAAGAAAACTCGTAAAAACACTACACAGTTCTATATCAAAAAAACAAATGCAGTAAACAGCAGCTAAGTGAGGAAAACAGGTGAATATCCCTCAAACCAGTACACAACTCACTTACTCCTCTCAAAGTCCGGTAATTTACTTAAACTATTGCGGCGTGCAGCCCGGCCCGTACAGTATACTGATGCAACGTGCAGCCCGATCAATATATATATATATATATATATATATATATATATATATATATATACTGCTGCGACCTGCAACCCGATCAAATAATAATATATACTGCTGCGGCGTGCAGCCCGATCCAATAATAATAGTCGACTGCGACTGGGGGTGTGCAGACTCTGGAGGGGCTCCTACAGCCCAAGCGCTATAATACTGCGGTGTGCAGTCCGATCCATTTATGTATATATGTATTTCGCTGCGGCATGCAGCCCGATCCGGTATATATATCAAATACCCTCACTATGGGGCCCCTGACCCCTCTCAGTCAATATAGACTTGGCCTCTCGGTCCCACTCAGCTAAGACAGCGTTTCCAACCCCAGGTGTTCCTCATTTGGATTGCCAATTTCTAAATCCGGTTCATGTTATGTTGAACAGTTAAGAACATGACTGAGGGTATGATTTCGACAAGTAAAGTGAAGTCAACTAGTACAAAGTACCCCCTAAGGTTTCTACAGATCGGCACAAGGCCCCAAACATGGCAACTAGCCCAGAATATACTGATATTAATTAAGTCTCAGCCAAAAATACAGTAGAGTCATCAATCGGGATGGACCGAGTCCGAATCCCCAGCAGTAACAACCCCACGCTCATCATACAGCGTGTGTTTCATCTCAACATAGCACCACATAGTGCAAATTCGGGGTTTCAAACCCTCAGAACGTCATTTATAACTGTTACTCACCTCAAGCCGGCCGAAATCCTAGCTCGCTTTGCGCTTGCCTCATAAATCAACGTCCTCGCGCGTAGAATCTGGTCAAAACCACAAGGAATACATCATAATGGGCTAAGGGAACATAACCCAATCGAAAAGACTCGAAAATTATCAAAAATCACGAAGTTGGCAAAACCCGAGCCTCGGGCCCACTTCTCGAAAAATTACGAAATTCACATCACCGGATTCCTCGTCTCGCCACGAGTCCATACATATCAAATTTACCAAAATCGGAGTTCAAATGCCCCCTCAAATCCCAAATTTTCATTCCAAAACCTAAGCCCTAGTTCTTCAAAATTTTTACCCAACTTCCAAGAATTAAAGGTAGATTCTTCAATAAAAATGATGTTTCTAGACCATAGGACTTACCTCCAATTGATTCCCAGTCAAAACCCTCACAAAATCGCGTCAATAGCTCCCAAGCTCGCTCAACAATGGAGGAAAAATGGTGGAGCTCGCGGATGAAATAAATCCTTTAAACCTTTCTGCCAACAGCGATTTTCGCTTATGCGGTCCCGCTTCCGCTTATGCGGGACCGCTTCTGCGGCCAAAAATCCGCTTATGCGGTCTTCACTTAAAAACCCAGACTTCGCTTATGCGACTCGAACTCCGCTTCTGCGGTACATTGTCCGCTTATGCGGACCCGCTGAAGCGACCAACTTTCGCTTATGCGGAACTACCCTAGCCCACACCTGGACGCTTCTGCGATCGCTCACCCGCTTCTGCGGAACCGCTTCTGCGGTCCATTTTCGCAGAAGCAGAAATACCAGATACCAACAATATCAGACCTGAAGAAACCTTCAAAAACTCTCTTTTAACCACTCCAATTCACCCCGAGGCCCCCGGGACCTCAACCAAAACACCAACACAACCTAAAACCTCATACGAACTTGTTCCAATCATCAAAACACGTCAGACAACACAAAAATCCTCAATCCACCACTGATTCAAGCCTAAGTTTATCAAATTCTTCCGAAACTCACATTCGATCAAAAACCCAACCAACGTCCAAATGACCTGAAATTTTACCCGCACATCCAAAATCACCTAACAAGGCTACTGCAATTCTCAGAATTCCATTCCGCGGATCAAAATCTCACTTACCAACCGGAATTCGCCTAAATCCAACCTTCGCCAATTCAAGCCTAATTCTACACCGGACCTCCGAATTCAATTCCGATCGCACTCCTAAGTCACAAATCATCCCCTGAAGCTAACCGAATCACCGAAATTCACATCCGAGCCCTCTAACTAAATAGTCAACTTCCGGTTGACTTTTCCAAAACAAGCTTTCCTTAAAGAAACCCAGTGTCTCATTTCCATCTAAAACCAATCCAATTCGACTCGATCACCTCCAATACCGATAATGAAGCATAGAGAAACATAAAAATGAGGGAAACGGGGCGGTAACTCACGTGACGACGGATCGGGTCGTCATAAAACTTGGGAGTCATACATCAAAGAACCTGTGTATATACCCCTCAACAGAATAGAGTAGCTGAGAGGAAACACAGGCGCATATTTGAAGTCACAAGGGCTATTAGATTTCAAGCTCAAATACCTATTAAGTTCTGGGGTCACTGCATATTAGCTGCTCTCTACTTAATAAATAGGATGCTCAGCTCTGTCATTGGCAACATATCTCCCTTTGAAAGGTTATATAAAAGGAAGCCTTCTCTAATGCATCTTAGAATATTGGGTTGTCTATGCTTTGCTAAAACTATACAAGAGCATGACAAACTAATGCCAAGAGCAAAATTATCCATACATTTGGGATTAATAGAAGTTCAAAAGGGCAACATTCTATATGCTATATGATCCTTCAACTAAGTCATTTTTCATAAGTAGAGATGTAGTACTTAGAGAAGATGTATTTCCCTTTATCAAGAAAGAGTACAACTCTTAACCAATATTTGTTGATACAACACCAGACTCAGGAATGCAACTAGATAATTCTACAATACTATTTGAGAATAGAACGGAAGCTACAACCACTAATAAGAGTGACAACACTAGAAGAGGTGAAACAGACAATTAGCACAACACAGAAGAAAGTTATACAGACATGCATACAGAACATACACAATATGGTTATAGTTCACACGAAATGCCACCTACTACTACTGAGATACAAAATCAACCATCAACTAAAGTCAGGAAATCCTACAGAGACAAACATCCTCCAGTCTGGATGAGAGATTTTGTGTCTCTCAATATTCATCAAAATGTACCATATGCTCTAAACAAATATATCAGCTATGATCATCTTGTCTCTAAATATTAGTTCTATGTAGCTGCAACTTCATCGGTTACTGAACCAACTAACTACTCTGAAGCAATTCTAGATTCAAGATGGATACAAGCAATGGATGAAGAGATAAAATCTCTTGAGAACAATCATACCTAGAACATTGTAACACTACCAGAAAGCAAGAAGCCTATAGGATGCAAGTGGATTTACAAAATCAAGTACAAAGCCTCAGGTGAAATTGAAAGGTTCAAAGCTAGATTAGTAGCCAAAGGCTATAGCCAAAAGGATGGGATTGATTATCAAGAAACAGTTCACCAGTGGTGAAAATGGTCACAGTAAGAACCACTCTTGACTTAGCAGCTACATGGAAGTGGCACATACATCAAATGGATGTATATAGTACATTCCTTCAAGGTGATTTATTTGATGAAATTTATATGGAATTACCACAGGGATTCAAAAGTCAGGTGGAGAACACTGTGTGTAGACTTGTTAAATCTCTGTATGGGCTCAAACAAACCCCTAGACAATGGAATGCAAAACTTTGTGAAGCATTGCTGAGGTTCAACTTCAAATAATGTCATTATGATCATTCCCTATTCATCAGAAAACAACTGAATGTACTACTATAATTCTAGAATATATATATGATATGTTAATCACGGGTGACGGTCAGCAATTGATTGAGGAAACAAAAAACCTAATGCACAATGCATTCAAAATGAAAGATCTGGGGGAGCTAAAATATTTCTTAGGAATTGAGTTTGCCGGATCCAATCAAGGAATAACTATGCATCAGAGAAAATATGCTTTGGAACTAATTTCAGAAGTTGGCTTAGCTGCAGCCAAACCAGCAATAACTCTGATTGATGTTAATATCAAATTAACCTCTAAGCAGTATAATGACAGCATTGGTAAGGCAGAATGTTCAAAAGAAGAAGACAGATGAGTTGATCAAACTTCCTATTAAAGACTAATAGGAAAACTTCTATATTTAATTGTAACCATGCTAGACATAGCATTTGGAGTTCAAACTCTTAGCCAATTCCTTCAACAACCCAAAAGATCACACATGGAAGCTGCTTTAAGAATAGTAAAATATGTTAAAAGTCAGCCAGGGCAAGGGATTTTGCTATCAAGCACACGGAACAATACAATCACTGCTTTCTGGGATGCAGATTGGGCTGCATGCCCTTTGACTAGAAAATCAGTTACAAGGTTCCTAGTTAAGTTCGTGACTCCTTAGTCTCATAGAAGTCTAAGAAGCAAACCACTGTATCTCGAAGCTCTGTAGAAGCTGAATACAAAAGCTTAGCAACAATAGTAGTTTAACTCATTTGGCTGTATGGTTTACTAACAGAAGTTGATACACAGATCCAGTTACCTATCAATATCTACAGTGACAGCAAAGCAGCCATACAAATAGCTGCAAACCCCTACCATAAAAGAACCAATCATATTGAAATTGATTGTCACTTTGTGAGAGAAAAAATTTAACAGGGACTTGTCATCACCAAATATGTTGCAACAACAGATCAACCTGCTGATATTCTTACAAAGGGATTAACCAAGTGCAACATGAATATTTAAAATCCAAATTAGGTATGATCAACATTTTTCCACCACTTAGCTTGAGGAGGGGTGTTAAATAATATGAGGATAGTTTAGTCTTTGTAGCTAAAGGTTGTTATTAACCATTAATGGTTGTTAGAGAGTTAGTTAATTAGTTAAATATACACAACCAAAAGTGGTGTATAAATACGTGTACTTAGTCTCCACTAAATAATATAACAAACAAAGTTTTAGTTATCTTCGTCTCTCTCCCTCTTTCTCTGAATGACTGTGTCTTCTTCTTCCTAAAATCTTCACTGTACTTCTCTGTAAATTACAACAGGAGGAAATAAATAACCACCAGTTGTTATATGAAATGACGGTTACTTCTCTTTTTCCCCTTAACCGATCATCCTCCAAGAATCTACACATTAACCATATTTCAAAAGGAGAAAAAAAGGGTGGGAAAAGATATAACTATTTTGTGATATGCATATATTCAATAAGATCACATATTGATTAATCGTCTTCTACTTCTCCTTTCATGGTCATTTTCCTCAAAGTTTTCATCTTCTAGCTCATTTTCATGTTGCTCATCAGTTGGTGGTTGATTGGGTTCAACGGATTCTGCACCAAGTGGTTGATTGAGTTCAACTGGTGGTGGTTGATCGAATTCAGCTGTAGAGAGAACTCTACCAATAGTCATCGCCAATTGTCCCCATTACAGGCACCCAAGTCTAATTGGTGTCTTTCGTGTATATAAGTGCGGAATTGCTAGCCTTCCAAGTTCCCTCTCCCACGGTCTTCGATATTCGTGCACCACCCGACACTACCTTCCTTAGCGTTGTTATGATGTATTTTGCGTCAGTATTGGAGAGATCACCCCACCATGCATCATCAAATATCACCTATGGGTTCAAATCCCCATAAAGAACATCAGATTAAATATTTGCTGGAGGAAAGAATCTATTTATAGCATAATCCTAAAGAATACCGAGGACTAGGTTGTTGCTCGGTTGAAATAACTATCCCCTGAATACCAGATTATTATTAGCTGCTATTGTTGTGTTCTTGTAGAAAAGAGAAACTTAAAAATGAAAAGAAAAAGAACTAAATCTAGAATTTAGTTCGTGGAAGGTGAAGGAGAAGTTGCGGAAGATAAACGCACAGTTTTTGCAGAAAATGCAGAGTTCTTGATCCCTTCGAAGAATGTGGCCTTGTTGATGCCAAAGTCAAACTTTAAAAAGAGTACTAAAATTATTTAGTAGAATTTATATGTATGCACGGACATATACAAAAAATGAGCATTAATTTTCTTTTTTTCTTATGCTTATTATTTATAATGTGGTATTGTTACAAGACACGGTCCCTTTAACTCCACATAGTAATATTATTATTTATATTGGTAAGATTTATTTAAGTTAATAAGGTGTTAGCCATGTATTTAAATACATTACCTTGGATCGTGTTACGAAAAATTCTCTTTATTAATATTAAGACTTGAGTTTTTTTAATTTAAAGTTAACTTTTTTCTACAAACTTTAATATTGTTCAAGCAAAGATAAAATCATAAAATTTATTATCTGTTATAAAACAATAAATGAAGAAGAAGAGTATTTCAGAGAAAAGTAGAGAGATATAATTCTTATTGCTTTTGGGATGAATTACAATGGAATAGAACCCTCTATTTATAGGGAGAGTGTGACTTAGCCACCAAGTAATAAACCCTAGAATCTCCCTAAATATAGACATTCACCATAAATAAAATTTTATTTATAACACTCCCCCTTGAATGTCTATTCAACAGATAATGTGCCTCGTTAAAACCTTAACTAAAATAAAACCTAATGGGAAAAAAAATTCTAGATAAGGAAAAAGAGTACACATATCTAATAATACGCCTTTTGGCTGCCTCGTTAAAAACCTTGCAAGGAAAACCCAGTGGGACAAAACCTTGTAAGGGAAAAAGAGTGCAACGCGCATTAACTCCCCCTGATGAGAGCATCAATTCACATCCTTGAGCCTTCGCATTCCAATCTTTTGCACCATCATCAAGAGATCTTTGGTAGAGATTTGATGAACAAATCAGCCATATTAACTTGAATGAATATATTGCACCTTGAAATCATCATTCTTGATAGAGATGAATTGTCTTCATATGATCTTGTTGGAATCGTCAGTTCAATATCTTCACATAGAGGTGAAAGCTCTTGCTATCATATTATCATGCATATAGTTATAGCAAGATACATTTGTGCACAAATTGCATTGAGGATGTAGTACTTTATGACCATGAATTCTATATGCTTTAAGCAATTTAAATCCTTGATGGACTGTTAAGTCATATAAGCCAAATAAATAGACTTTAGATGCATATCAAGTTTTCATGTCATACTAGACATATAAGATATCGAAAACTGATTGCACATACAATTGACTTTATACTTTCAAGTGTTTGAACTACATGTTCAAAACTACATGTCTTTCATATGAAACCAATTCTACTTGAATTGTTTCTTCAGACTTAATATCCTCATATATATATTTAGAGTTATCATAGATGTCGTCGGCGAACATTTTATATCGGTTTCAACCTCCTTATTTTTCATAAAGACATAACATAGAGATCTCTTCATTAATATATTCAGGTACCTGAATCTCTCATGAGATTTTATGAAGTGTTATGTCATGTGATCTTCTAGATCACTTGCCTCCTTATTATGATCATTTTGATCATTTGTTCATCTTCTTGATCAAGAAGTTAATTTGAAACCGATTAGTCTATACGCCTTAAGCGTACCACAGACTTTGTCCTTCTAGGACTTATTATATAATAGGAGCATTTGCAATGAGAATATAGTTACTTTCTTTGGGTCAGCAAATGCATCTGGCATGCTTTGCAATAAATGGCACATGAATTATCCTTTTATGAACTTCAAATTCATATTATTTTATTCGAGGATCTAGATGTATAAATGATAATTCATTCCATGTAACTTTTTCTCAACTGTTGTATCTTGTCTCCCCCTCATGTTAGAAAAACTAACTTATTACCTCAACTTTGAGAATCCACCTTTGTGCGTTATGGTGTTAATCAAAATATACACCGCACATCAATAATAATAAGATAGAATTATTTGGTTCCTGACCCTGAACCACTTGTAAGGGGAGAAAATAATATACTTTCGTATATAACGTATATCAAACTGATATATATAACTTTGTTCTCATAAGCAATTGTTTAGCTATTAAGTAGAGGCACTTAATAAATTATTTTACTAAACCAATTGTGATGTAAACCAACTTATCAAGATGAACTTGTTGAATAGAAATCTGGAAATTATGCTCGAAATTAAATTATTGAGCAAGTTACCTCGCAAACACCATGTTGCGGGTTAATAATAATCGCACATGTAACCATCTCATAGATGCATCTTATGTGGTATACATGGCAGGTAAATGGGCCCATATTCACCTTTGATATTTCCAGCATTCATGGGATTCAATCCCAATTCTAGTTGATCTATTAATTAATGAGAACAAGCAATATAAGAGAATTCGTAAAGAACTTTCTAGTTCTTTAATATTTACCCATGTGAATTCTCTATTATTTTTGCACATCATACTTAAATTGATATGGCTAAACCAATTATGCCAATTGAATAAATTATCATATTGATAAACTTCGGATTTACACCATGACGTGTGCAATTATCAATAAACTCCAAGCTTATTATGATATGGCTTTTTATATCAATAAACATCCACTTTATTGTGGTATTCTTTTATTTGTGTAGTACAAACTGGAGAATAAAGCGGGTAGCTTTTCACTTACATATTACCCCGCTACAAGTTGTAGTAATAGAAGATATTAAATCTTTCCTTTATTTATAGTCTCAATATAATCAACTGCTTTCGCTATACTTTGAAAACTGAATAAGTTTCTTTGAGACTTAGTACAACACAATACCTTATTGGTAATCAATTGTGTTCCTCCAAAATAGTAATAATTGGCTCTTCCAGAGCTCTCAATTAATTTGGTGCTACCACATATTCATCAACATCCATATGGTGAATATCTCTTTTAAAGAGAAAGTTATACCATTATGGTTATGGTCAAAATAGTATGCAAGATCTATTTCTTGCATTACTGTTGTCTTTTAATAATCACAATGCCAATATATTTTGGCATACAATAAGTACGTGACCAATAACCATTCATGCTTTCTTATATCATCTCAAACCTCCTTCTAGAGGCGAGTGTGGTATATTCACTACCACTAGCACGTTCATATTCTTCCAAGAATGAATATGTATTCATAAATAAGATGTTGTCACATTCACATCATGAATGGACCATAATCATCCATATGTACTTTATAAAATCTCATGTCAAATCGATGACAAATATTACTTTCATAGAGTGAAGGATTATTTTGAGAATCCTTATTATTCTCAGTATCACAATGATGACGATTATAATTTTGTCTATTGCCACGTCCACATCCATTGATACCTTCACGGTAATAATTTTGTCTTCTTTCAGACTTATCACATATTGCTATCACATTCTCTTAAGGGAATGAGAATGAAGCAAATTCAATGGGACGGGTTTTCACTTCTTGTGCTCACGATCATACATGACTTTGATCATGGCAAGACATAGAAATTTTACCACTTCGGGTGGTTATAATT